TGCTGCAGTAAATCAATTTTAAAGTAATCCCTTTCAATGAAGAACATAAGGGGACTGAGATATATAAGATATATATCTCATATTATGTATGTATAGTATATATTTCCAATAAAACTTGTTTTTAAAAGACAGTAATCCCATTGTATATATAGTAAATTGCATAGGCCCAAAAGGGAATGTTGTGTTAATTGCCCTAAAAGCAAAAGTTTGAAAGACACTGATTAGACTTTGCAAATTCTAACATTAGTTACTGAATGCACTGCTATATTAAGAACTTGAACCAAACTTTACGAGGTGTTTCTGACTTTTATTCTGGTTAAGGCCTAATCCGTACTCATTGAGAACTCCATTCAACACAAAATTTCCAGTACCAGAATACTTGTCTAAAAATAGAATCTTACCCTTCTTGATACATTTTCTTTGTTTTGGTGAGGTTGCATAGACATGTGAGGCTATTATTTTTATTCAGTGAGGTATATTTTGCACTCAAATGATTGATAGCTTGAGGAAAGTCTTTAACGAAAATCTGAGCCTTAACCCTAAATTACTCCAAACCCTTAGCTAGGGTTAGGGTTAGGATTCCCACAAAATGTAGACATTTTTTGATGGCATGGCTGTGTTTTAGGACCAAAATGATGTTTAGGAAAACAGGTATTTTAGGGTTTTCTAAACATTTTTTTTTCTGACATGTATGGCTATACAGTATATTCATTAATATTTTTTTCATCCTTATTGAAATGTTATGTTGAAAGTTTAATAGTTATTATATAACCCTAGTGATGTCTGTTCTTTCCTTACAAAAAAAAAAATTATATACAGTATTTGCATTTGACAATTCCAAGCTGAGTGTATGTGTAGCTAACCAATGGAGAATTACTGTAGTACTGTAATGAATATGTATTGAGTTTCAGAGACAGAAAAATTAAGGTTACCATTGTATTAACTGAACTCTGCACACAGATCTTTCTCCATATTCATACTGATATTACTAGAATACAGTATTATTGACTAGAGGATCTTGGACCATTCCATGATGGCTAAGTTACCTAAATTGTTATGTTTTTACACTTTTTTTCTGGATTTGCTCTATAGTGATGTGTTTTTTAAAGACTTGATAGAATCTTTGCAACTGGTCTTTCTACATAATAGGGGTTGTGCAATGTAATCTACATATTTTAGTATAATAAAATCAGTTATCCAACAGCTGTTTATATCTTGGTGCAAAGTCATTTATATTCAGCTAATGTAATGCATTGATATCTTGTTTGCTCGGCACTGTATGGCCCTCCAAAATTATCTGTCCCCCAGAAATGGTGTCCCATATTAAGCCATTGTTATTAGCTACGAAGAGACAGTTGCTGTACATGCTGGTAAGAAGTGAAAAGGCTACATTGGAAAGCTAGGTTAAGGATAAGTAGGAAAATGCTAAATCTGTATCTGTATATTTAAAAGTAAAACACTGTAAATGTTTGTTTTTTTACCTTTGAATCACATTTAAAAATCATAGTGGGAAATATTTAGTTATTACATAAGGAATGGCTGGAGTCTTCTGCTGTCTTAACTGGGAAGTGCAGTTGCATCATTGTTCCAGGAGAGGGCTCTATTCCTGTATAGGCGTTCTATGTTTTTTTAAGGGGGAAATAAGCTCTGACAAATCGGTTTGGTTTCTGATAATGCTCTAAGGTGTAAAATGTTTGCAGTAAACGAGAACATGGGTTATTTTTTTCATTTTCTAGTGATTCTATACAGTCATGAACATTTCTAATGGAATTATTTATGAAATAACTAAATAAAGAAAGACATCACGTGCAAGCTTGTGAAATTTTACAGTTGCTTTATTACTGGATTTTAAATGACAGCAAAACCAAACACTCCATCTTGACCTATATTTGGTTTTTACAAGTACTCTATAAGCCTTTTATACTAATCCTATGTTCCCAAACACCTGCCTTTGCACCTTAGCTATCTGCTGCACATTCAGTATGGTAATTTGCTTTGATTCTAAGACGGATTAGCGTCTTAATCATAACTGAAGTATATTTTCAGGGACTCAGGAAACCAAAATAAAACCAAAACTCAGAAAAAATGGTTTGCATATCAAAGAGTTGGTGTGTCTCCCATTTTAGTGTAGCTGCATTTTTTATTACTGTTGGTGTAAAAAATTCTGATACTGAAATTCAATACTTGGTTTCATCCTGACCCTTCTTCTTCAAAGTTAAAATATATATATATATTGCATCCAATCTAGGGACTTATGTATTTCTGTACCACCTTTTTCTTCCACAAAGATGTATTAAGGTATACTGTAGGTTGGTGAAAAAAGGGGTAAAATAAACTGGACACTTACCAATCGCCTAGAAGGTCAAGTTGCATTAGTAAAATTATAAACCTGTAAAATTATAAATTATAAATGTATTATTAACAGGATTGCCTTAATTATTTTTATCCTAAATACGTGCACAGTGCCTACAAACTGAAATATAATTAATTCCCACTTATTTCCACTGAAAAGAGCAAAAATGTTTGTCAAAGTTTCATGCCTTAGTTTCAATGGCGCTTCTAGACATACAGTGGCTGTGCTGGCCTGTCTGGCTTAGATGTGTGGTATGTAGTTCAATAGTTCGGCTCATGTGCACAGGAATTTGAGATAGTGAAAACTCAGGTAAACCGAGATCACTTTTTAACAAAGGTTACTGTTTGTGATAGTTGAACGACAAAGAAGATTTCATTGTGCTGTTTGTTTTCAAATACTGTATGTCAATGTTAAGTTAATATGTAATTTCAATTGCTGTTTCTGTGTTAATTTTAACAAGTTAAACAAGATTGCAAACCAAAAATGAACTATCTCTGAAAATAATGAATTAAATTTTAGATTTTTTTAGAATTTACTGTCCTACTTTGATTTAAAGAAATTCTAGAAGAACGAGGGTTCATAGTACTCTTCTGATAAAGCTACTTCTGTATATTTACATGTATTTTAAGTGGTCCTGTGGCCTATGTTTTGACTAGATAACAGTGGTGTAATTTACTATAACAAATTCTGCTCATGCCACGAATGGCAAACATTGATAAGAGTGGATCTGTAATTAAAAATTAAAAACCACATGGGATTTCATGGGATAATTTCAGATTGGTGTATTTCAAGGTTGGTGTTTAATTAGTGGAAGGAAAGGAGAAGTTATTAGCACTGCAAAATATTACTCTTCTTTTCCTTTAAAGTATTAGAGCAGTTTATAACCTTGATGTTTCTTATTCGGGTCAAGTTAGTGGAAGCTTTTCTTTCTTAAGCTCCAGCTTTCCTTCAGCAGTAGTCATATGAATATTGTATGTGAAAAGTCATGTTTTATTAAGACTGGTCATCATATTTTTAAGAAGTAACAGGAACAATTGCACTATGCTTAAACTAAAGATCAGGTTTTTACTTCCTATCGGTAATTCTATAGAAATTAAACTGTCATTGAAATTAATGGGAAGTAGTTAAATTAAACCTGAGTGCCTTATACCTCTGTATTCATCTTTTTTAAATTTGTATTTGTGATGTAGAGCACAGAACATTGCATGTTTAAGAATTCTGTAAAGAACCTGTGCATATTTGTGAGTGTACCTCAGGTAGTAAATGTTACCTAAGGTATTCTTATGTGCCTAGTTTCAATTAAGATCTGTTTGCTCAAAAGACGTAGTACTGTATATTACTTAATTGCAGATGAGGTACAGTATGTGTGGAAGGTGAGCATTTCTAAACAGCATTAGGCTTAAGAGTTTGGGCTATTTTTTCCCTTTACTCTATTGTATTTAGACATCATAATGATGAATGAATATTTACAGTACAGATTCAAATTCTCATATAGTTCATACAAAAATTATAAAAATACTGAAATATCAATAAAGAGCCCAATCAATATATATTTATCTAACATATTGAAATATAACATAGAATAGATAGAATAAAATAGGGCAACATGGAGGCAAGTTGGGGCAGTGGTTAGCATTGATGCCTCACAGTGCTGGGGCTTCAATTCTTGGGGTGCTATCTGCACAGAGTTCATATGTTCTCCCCATGTTCATGTGGGTGTCTTCCAGGTGCTCCGGTTTCCTACTACAGTCCAAAGACATACTGAGGGGTTAATTGTCTTCCTTGAATATTGGCCCTGGTGTGAGTGTGTATGTGTGTGTTTGTGTGTGCCCTATAATGGATTGACATCCCATCCAGGGTGTATCCTGCCTTGGGCCTGTTCCTTGCTGGGATAGGTTCCTGCTTCCCCACAGCCCTGTATAGGGTAAGCTGGTTAGAAAATGGAAGGATGGATATAATTAATACAAAATATCAATTCAGATATCAAGAAAGAGTCCAATCAATCAATAGATATATGTAGATAACTTTTTATAAACATTAGCAATATGTGAAACATATTAATTGTAACATACTGTAAATACGTCAACCCTTTTAAATTTCCAGTTTTCCAGGGCATCGTGTTGTGGAGTTTAACTGGTGCACAACGAGATGACAAATTTTCTTGCAACAAAAGTTCTCTTGGTGTCATTCTGTTATAACTAACATGTACAGTATCACACTATTGTCTGCTCTCTATATTTACTTTTGTAAGACAGCTTGAAAATATTACTGGGCAGTTCAGTGGAATCACACATTGCATTTTAAATAAAACTGAGAAATAAAACAAACTAGAAAGAATTGCATTTGCACGTACTGTATAACCCCGATGCTTGTGTGTATAGAATGTAGGCTACTGCCAGCCTTGTTATTGTCTGATGGTACTTTGGATTTCTTTTATAATTAAAGCTTATAATATGGTACATGTGTCACTCTATGTATATTGTAAAGTAGCATAGTTCTAGCAATGGAATTCAGGGGCTTGCAAATGTAAGACACACTCAGAATGGGAGGGAAAAAAGAAAGCTGTCTAGTAATTCATGAAGTGACTCACACTCTAACCTAGCTTCTTCTGTTTGCTGTAACATTGCTCTCTCTTTTTCTTTCTTAGGCGCTACGGCAGCCCTCATTCCTCGCCTTGATCTGGTCATCTCATTTGTGGGAGCTGTCAGCAGCAGTGCCCTGGCTCTCATTTTCCCTCCACTGGTGGAACTCATTACATTCTGCAACAAGAAGTTCAGCCTCTGGATGGTCGTGAAGGATATTTTCATTGCTGTAATAGGATTTGTTGGCTTTTTAGCTGGGACCTATGTGACGGTGGAAGAGATTATATATCCCCAGGCAGACTTTTTAGTTCCCGATACTGGAAAAACTGCTGTACTTTTAAATGCTACAGACTTTGTAAGAGGGGCTGTGAATATTTCAAACCCATTCACCTCTGAGTAATGTCTTAAAAAGCTCTGTGGGTACCCAAAGTTCTCCATGACGATTCAGCATAACGTAGACATTGAGCCTCCAAAATGGGCTCTCTTTTGATAATGAGCAGAATTCCCGTTATGTCAGATTTGATTTGTAAATGCATTCCTTTGCCCCATCATCATTCCAACACTGTTTCAGTTTCCAGTATTGATATGAAACACTTGTCCAGTGTATTGTTTAAAAAATATAAAACTGTAACACCTTAGGAAGAAACAGCCTCATTGCTGCAAGGATCACAAAAATGGCTCCTTTTAGCATTTTCTGATTAATGAGGTTTATATATTATGAAATGGTTTTATTCCTTTCTGGCCCTATCAGTTACAGTATTTCAAAATAGTAATGGTTTCCATTAAGGTGTCTGCCCTGTTTTTTACTTTGTCCAAGTCTTTTTGAATTTCATTTCCACTTCTTACAGTGTATCCTAATGCTTTTGATATCATCCATCAAATGCAAACCTGGCTATTTTACTAGCTATATCAGAATCTAGATACAGTAGTTGATATGAATTAGGAGCAGCTGTTCTAATTCTGATTCCTGTTGTACTTCAATAATTGCACAATCTAAATTTGAGCATTAAACCTTTAGCTATACCCTCAAGTTCTCAATTCAAAATCATGCCTTACTTGAATACCCACTGCCAGTAATTTAAGCCGTCATCTTAGTGACCTTTATTTACTTGATTATTGAAGGTAATTAATTTCTGCTTTACATGAACAATTTTCCAGTCAATATGTATTACTTATTGTATATAAAGTGACTATTGGAAGGCTTTTGTAAATGTCTGTGAAGAATTCCATTACTACAGTACATTCCATTAGTACAATCTACTCTCAGGCCCTAGAGATACAGTATGTATTCTAATACTAAGATACAGTATTCTAATACTAAGGGCATTTCTGCATCTTTCTTATATTTAGAAGCCTCAAACATATCAGTACCCCTCTTTGTAAAAATTTGAGTTAAAATTTCAGTTCAAACATTGGCCATTCCCCTGTCATCATGTAAGTTTCAGAGACGTTTACTGTACTGTTGTACTTTTTATTATTTTCTTCAACCTTTGTTATAATATTCCTTCCTGCCTCTTTTGGCTTTCCTAATGTCATTTGGTTTACCTATGCTTCCAGTTCATTTAAGTGGATGTTGTCCTTTTAAAATTTTTGTAAACTTTTTTTTCATATACGTTTCGTGTTATTAAACCATTTGGGGAGCCATCCATTTACTGCTAATTTCAAATGAACAGCACCTTACTCCATTCTATCTCATTTTCTCATGTCAGTGTTTATTAATTTAGAAACATTAGTTTCAAACTCCAACTGTAGCTCAAAGCATGTCATAATCGCAGTTCCGGATAGTTCATTCAGTTCTGTTTTCCATCATTCTGCGATGATTTTCTGAAAACACTAGATCAATACAATCACTTCCTGTGTGGTACTCTGATCTGGATATATATTAATGAGTCCAGAAAAAGCCTGAACATGGCTTGTTTACTAATATGTAAAGACTAGAGACAATGTATTTATGTATGTTAATTTGGAACCAAATAGTTTTCCAAGTGGTAGGACTTGTATGCATTAATGGATGGATAAGTATGCATTATAATCAGATTAATTTAGAATGAACAGTTGTTAGATCTTACATCTGCCTCTTTTCCCAGAGGTACTTTACTGGGAGAAGAACAGAACAAACTTTATTATACTAGGAAGCTCCATCTACCCTGATCTACAGCAGGGATGAAGTGAGTGGGCTCTTACAGTATATTCACTTAATCTCATCCCTGTACTCCTCTTGTGGTAAAGATGCAGCACTGAGATCAAGGGTGTGGAAGCACTTTTTCTACATTATATATGATAGATAAGGAAGCCTTTCTCTTCAGAACACATCAAGTTGAAATATTATTGGGTCCTAACAAATTCAATTTCAAGACCTGTGTCTCATGTACTGAATTGTTTCAGAAAAGAGATTAGTCTTTGTCCATCTGATTCAGTTCATTAAATTCACTACTCAGTTCATTAGAGACTTACTGTGTCACAGTCGTTTTTGTATGGTGGATGAGACTTAGTTAAATTCTTGTATGGCCCATTTAATTTGAAACAAGCCTTGAATCATATTATGTGCATGTTTTTTCCATTCAAGTGTGTTACCATTTGGTAGTAGATTTTACAACATGTCTGGCAGAGAAACGTTTTAGCTAGTGAATCTAGTTATTTATAAATAAAGTTATTGCATTTAGAGAATTTTTTATTTTAAAATGCTTGAACTCTGTTATTGTCAATGTATGGTGATAATCCATTTTATAACATCGTGGCAAGTTAATCTTCACTAATTCCTTTTTGGAACTGTACCACAGATACAGTAGTTCTGAATATACAATATTTCCAAAGGTTTCCAAAAAAACATTTACATTTGACTAGAGCTAGATGGTCCATACATATAGTATACATGCATTTAAGACATTTTAACTGAACTACAATTTGGTTGCTATAAAATGTTATGAGGACATTTATCAAAAAGTTTTCAGAAATAACAAACAATTACCAGTACTACAGAATTATGGGTAGAGTAACCATTTTCAATGCCTCCCATAAAGGTTTGCAAATCACAGGTGTTTTTTATAAGCCTCGCATTTGAAACATTTTGTTCCTCAGCTCAGGACTCAACGTAAGCCAGCCTGAGAAGAACTTCTTCAATGATTTATGTACTTGTGCTTTGATATTTTTGTGCATATTTGTAGAGTGATAATATACTTTTTTTATACAGTCCATGTAGGTATGTGAACATACTTTTAAAACTGCCTCACATGAAAAACAGTGGTCTATGTGACAGCTATCATGCACTATAGGGTTGAAAAGACTGTGCAGAGCTGTCTGAAAGATTCATAAAAAAAGAAAAACACTTTGTAGCATCAATTTCTTTCTAGTTTCATGATAAACCCAAATCTTTCTTTAGCTTTTGACAGATGTAGGCAATACTCCTCCTCAGGGGGTGAAAGACAAGTAATAGAAATAAGATGTGATAAAATACTGATAGCCACGCTTACAAATACAGTACACTCATTACAATTACAGCTACCAGTCATGGAGAGAAACCTTTGCAACTGAAATTAAACATGAATGTTTTTCTTATGTTGATTATATCTGTTTATGAGCTCAGTAATGTTACAATGGTTTTATAACAACTAATTATACATGCTGTGCAAAACTATGAAGTCACCATTAGAAGTCTACACTACCATTAGCTTGTTTTTTCTACTGTACATGTGGCCATGCAGTATCCTTCACCTGTGGCACTCATTGCTTTTGAGAGTTTTTTTATAGGCTGTTGTAAATAGTAAATATGAATGCACCAAGTCTAAATCAAAACATATTTTTTTAACCTCCATCCTTTCCAAAGCTTTTTGACTCCAAAGTCAAAAAAGTTCCACCGGTTTGACAGATCCAACTGATTACGGTTCTTGGGTCAGAGGCAAAAGTTCTTGAGTACAAAAGATGAATTAGTTTAATTAATTTGGAATCCCTACAAAGTGAAAAAACACATAGTACATAGTAAATACTTGTTTAAAAACTTAACAGCCTCCTGATGTTGAAGGTGAGTGTTAAATTGCAAAGTGTGTGTAGATACACAAATACTGTACTGTACAGTATATCATTCAACATAGAACCTGACACTTTCATTTCCTTTCTAGCACCAATACTATATCCACTCATTGCTGCACGCAGATTGAATTTAAAGCAAATTTCTTTGCTTTTTTATAATCCCACAAGGTTATTTACACTCTGCTCCTCTTACATGTATGCAATATACCAATATACACACCAGATTCAAATTTCTTAACAAATTCTAGTTTCACCTGCACAGAACAGGCCGTGTTATGGTACCTTCTAGAGGATCACTGCACACAGATTGTGTCTGTCGTTTTTGTTTGAGATCATTAAATCAAGGATTTAGTGTATTTAAATTTTTCATTTTAAGGACCAAAAATCTCTATCTCTTAGTACTTGAGTGTGCAGTACTTGTTTTATCATGTTGATAATTTGAGAGCTTCATAAAAACTACACAATCCTTAATTTTTCATTACATTTAACACAGTACAAGTTTCTTATTGAATTAAGGCATGTGACTCATGTTTGTGGCACCGATTCCTAAAAATCATATCAAGGGACTATCATGATTTGTCCTGAAAATCTACTCTTCAAAAAGGTTTTACAATTGTTCAACAACTGGTATTCTTGCCAAAAGGATCTATTATTCCATTACACTTTTGAAAGGTTAGATCCTGTACAAAACAAATATCAAATGTACACAATACCAAACATACCCACCTGAACTACCTTTGACTATGGAGTCAATGTATATAATGACCTATTAAAATAGATGAATAAATAAAATATTAGTGGCTAATTTTATGTTGTTGTACTAAGCTTAATAACAATATAATTTAAGTATTTTGTTTTAAACTATAAACTTACAGAAACCTTTGGACCTGCAAGTCAAATATCACATACTGTATGTGATTACCCTCACTGAGGTTAAGGTAGAAAGGAATATATAATACTGTAATTGTATTTTCCATGTGTAATTTAATACATTTTTGTAATTCAGAAAAACAATGTTTTGCAAGCATTTCAAAGCAAATTGATTTTTTTTTGTTCTCATCATTGTTTTCAGACTCTGTCTTAATCCTTCCTATCCAAAATCAAGTTATCAATTAAAATTATGATCACTCAGATTGTATGGAAATCCACAATCTCACAGTCTTTTCAGGCATTAGGATATACTTTACAATGCTTTGGGGTTTACACTAACTGCAAAGGTTTACTGTATATTTCTCTTGTTGAAAAGCAATTGCAATATTCAAAACTCTTAAGTTTGTAAACAAAGCTGAAATACAGTATGCTAATCTTAGCAACTGGGCATTACATTTTTCCTAGACAAATCAAGGGTATTAGGAAGTAAATCCTGTAACTTTCCTTTACCACTAAGAAGCAAGAAAAAGGTGTTTCCAAGAACTTGCCTTTGAACAGAAACAAATCATCAAGATGATATGCAAGTTATCTACAAGCAGAAATAAATGAGAACAGAAATTCATGTCTTCTACTTTACTTAACTTTACTTTACAGTGCTGGAAACTGGCATGTTCCTTCATAAAAGGTTATGAAATACCAGTTGATTTCAGTTATAATGCCTTCATATCCAGGGCAGGGGTTCAGAAACAGTGAATTCAATGCGTGTTGTCATTGGATTAGCAGTCCTCACTGGGCAGCTGATGTCAAACCCTTGCTTGCTGTCACAGAGATGAAAGAGGGGGTTAACAAATACAGCTCTGGGTTAAAAGTATAGCCAAGGTGAAACTGTGTGGGTGTACCACCTAAGGAAGAAAGGGGAAAAAAATCTTCCCCTTTCAGAGAACATCGTTATTCTGACACCCATCGTATTTTCATTTGGTTGCTTTAGAATTGAGAATGTTACATGTAGGTGTTTGTGTAGTGGATTATATTATTTTATTATATTCTATTTAATTTAAAAAATAGTGGTGAGTGGACTCTCTTTTGTTGTTTTATCAGTGTTGACTTGTATTCAGTTTTTATGCAGACATTTTAAGATGTCTGCATTGCTTGTTGTTTTTAAAGTACTGTACAGTACATTCTCAAACTGAAATCCCCAGTTCCAATCAAGTTCTGCTCTGAATTGCAAATAAAGCCATTTATATACTGTATTACATTCTACAAGATACAGTAAGTCAGCATCTCTAATAGATACTGTACATACTGAGACACCTGCTCAGTCTACGTTATCTTTATTGCTGTGGCTTATAATATACTGAGAATCAAAAGAAATGTATCATTTTTAATACAAGTATGTGAAAAGCATACAGTATAGATGTTGATTTTGTCAAACCGTGATGCACTTAAGTGACTTTGGACTTTGGACTTTAGTACTTACACAAGTACTAAATCACTTCTTTAGTGAAAGCTGATTAGGCTCAGGTAAACCAGGTGTGTCAGCATGCAGTCTTTTGCCTTCTCTGGTATTCATGGCCAGGAATTTCTAATGAAAGATGTTTCAGCTAAATACAGTCTGTCCAAAACATTGCCATATTCAATGGGGAAATCTAAATGTATTTATCCAGGTGCTGCTGTAGAACTCTGCTGCTGTAGACTAGCTGCTGTAGAACTCTGTTTGTGGCCATTGCTGGCAAACTCACTTGCTACCTTTCCTGCAAGCATATCCTGTAGGGACAATATTCTAGCAGGGCAATTCGTATTCTGCTCACATAACTGCTTTCTTTCAAGATGAAAATGCAAAACTTCTGCCATGGATGCTTTACTTGAGCACCATTAAACATTTTTTGGATGTTAGGACAGTGGGCGACAATCTATGGCACTGTCACACAAGATTATTTTGAATGGCATGTGCAGTGAAAGTCTAATTAATGGTTAATGGCAAAGAAATGGAGTCAGAAAATTTTATTAAAATATGCTTTACTAACCTCTGAATTATACAACCCAATGAAAACTATTTGTTTCAATGTAGTAAGATGAAACAATTCACATGATTGATTTACTTTGTTTCTTTTAATGTGGGCTCACTCATCTGGATTTGCAAGAAAGATTACTGTATTTGCCACTGATAATGTTTTTTAAAGTTTTAAAGTGTTTGATGAAACATTCTGGACAAAATGGTGGTTCCCAAAAAAACAAAGTTAGTAGTAGCTTGCCCAATACAGACACTCTAAGGGCTGCAATCCTATTCTATGTCACATCCAATCAACACCAGCTTTAGGAGCAGAGATCCAGAATACCTGTGTAATTGTAAGCCTAGAGAAGTGGAGTTTGAAGGCCCTGCTGTAACCACTACCTTGAAACAATGACCTGTAAACAACTAGTAATCAAATTTCAGTCTCTTGCAATCCCACTGTAGAATTTGCCATGACTAGTGTGTTAATTAATTGTAAATCAAGAAGCTCTAAGTATCAACAGTTTTTGAACAATAACTTTAAGATACAAAATAACATTAGC